ATATACTCTTCCCCCTTGCATATTTCTACTTTGTAAAAACTTCTCATAGCTAATTTTTTCCCCTCCCTTACTACTCTCTTTACATCACTTTCCCCCCAAATCGCTCCTCTTCCCTCCCGCACCCTTTTTCCTGAAACCACAAACTTCTGCTGAACACTCAAACACTAAATTTTTTAAACCAACCCCATACCTTTTCGCCCCCTTCCCTATGCTCTCTTAGCCAAATCATCCTCCAAATAGCTGTTTATATTTTACCCTAACTCCTCCTCTTTAGTTTATAAACCTTCACCTTCTCTTTCCCTGATCTTCTATTCTCCTTGTTCCCCTCTACCTTTTTCTCTCATTAGCTACAACTAAAAAGTGATCTGATATACTGGGCCCCCCTATAAACATGTACACCTAAGTCTACTCAACTCCTTTTTTTCTACCAATACATAAACCAACAAACTACGTCATTTCGCCCCACATCATATCTTTTATATTATTTTTTCCTCTTTTTCTTTAAAAAATTATTACCTATAAATAAACCCCTTTCTTACAAAGTTCAATCAAAGGCCCCCCCATTATCATTTACACCTGCACCCCAAACTTTCCTACCCCAAAAACCCCTCTAAAATTTCTCCTACTTTACATTTAGGGCCCCTACCCAATTACTCTCCACTTGGTTCAAAGGGTCCTATACATTTACTTAACATCTCCCAAAATCTCTCCTCCTCTGCATTCCCTCTTTTCCAGGGGCATAACCTTATTAAAGACCCACTTCTCGCATCCCAACCTTTTCTTTAATCCCCAAATTCTGAATTTCACATTCTATTCTCTTTTTCCCCCCTTCCATAACTGATCATTTAACATTACTGCTACCCCTTCCTTTGCCAACCTCTCAAATCCAGATTTAACCCCTTTATTTCCCCCCCCCTGAAACTCTCCTACCCCCTTCAGCTTTGTTTCGCTTAGGGGCCAGGACATCCAACTTCTTTTTATTCTAAACAGCAATCACTTTTCTTGTCATTCGCACACATCCACGCACTTTTAAACACCCATTTTTAAAGTTTTTCTTTTCTCTTTTTAGTAAGTTTCTACAGGGGAAAAGGGGTTACTAGCCCATTTCCCCCGGGATTTTAGGGCGCCTCAACACAAACCCTGGCACGGAGGAAAGATTCTTTTCCACTTTCCCCCTGGGGCAAAGAAAAAATAAAGAAAACAAGACTATTTTGAAAAAGGAGAAAAACCTAATGAGTTTAAAAATATATAATAATATGCATTCGTGTCTGAAGTGTGACCAAAGTGTTAGTAAAAGTTCAAAATATCCCGTTATCTAGCTGTTTATGAGACAGAAAAAGAAACCAGCAATCCTACCATCATCAAAACATTACGGTTTCTGTTTTACATCATCGGGAGACGGGATATTTCCCTGGTGGTTGCTGTCTACCAACCTACTACCTATAAATAAATATATATATATATATATATATAATATATATATATATAATAAATAAATATATTATAAATAATTATATATAAATATAATATATATATATAATATATATATATATATATATATAAATAATATAAATATAATTTTTAAATATATAAAAAAAATATATTATTATTTATTATTTATTACACACCGCCGATTCCCACCAAGGGAGGGGGGCCCGAAAAAAAAAACTTTCACCATCATTCACTCCATCACTGTCTTGCCAGAAGGGGCTTTAAAACTACAGTTTTTAAACTGCAACATTAACACCCAAATTGTAAAACTGGTCAAATTTAAAAAAACCTTTAAAATTAAGCCTTTTTGAAATTTTCTCTTTCAAATTTTTAAAAATATATTTTTTTTATTAAAGTTGATGAAAAAAATTTATAATTTTTCACCAAAAGAAAGTTTGAAAACTTTCCAAACCCTTTTTATAAAAAGAACAATTTATTTTAGCCAACCCAACATATTATTTAATTTTTTTCAATAATTTAAAACTAAAAAAACCAGTGAAATATATTTTTTTTCGTTTGGTTCGAATGATTTTGGGCGAAATTTTTTGCATACACAAAATTTTTACTTGCCATATGGCAAGATAGCGTTGCTATTTAAGGGCCCAAAACGCAAGTTCTGCATATTCGGCAGACAATATATATATATTTAAAAATATATATATATATATAATTTTTATATTTATGTGTTTGTGTGTGTGTTGTGTTTGTGTGTGTAAAAGGGACATAAGCCAACAGTATCAATTTGTCCCAGTGGGATCAGAGACCTTGGGATCATGGGGAAAAAATGCCACGCCTTTCCTTCAAGAACTGGGTTCCAGACTCGTCGACACCACCAGGGACCCCAAGGGCAGCCACTTTCATGTTCCAGCGCCTCAGCGTGGCCATCCAGGGGGGAATGCATGCTGCATACTTGGTTCGCGTCCAGCTTCAGAGGAGCTGGAGGAGATTCATAATCTTTGATAGTATATTATACCAATGTATTCATGTTTATGTTTTCTGTCAATGTATTCTGTCTATTAATAAAATTTCTTATAGAACATAAAATATAGGGGGTGGTAGGAGAAGAAAATATTCAAACAGCTCTGGGGAAAACCTTGAGTTTTCCTTGAGGTACGTTTATTATCTTCTCTGAGGATGAGGGTCCCCAATAAAGTTCCAGAAGTGGTACCTCCCTATATTATAACAAGCTCAATTTATTTTACCCTAATCCAACTTCATACATTTTAGATACGTTTACAATAATTTAATACTAAACAAACACAATGAAATATATCTTTTTCGTTAGGTTCAGAATGATTTTTTGCGAAATTATTGCACACACAAATTTTCACTTGTGTTATATGGCAAGATGAACGTTGCCATTTAAGCCAAGATCGCAAGTTTTACATATTCGGCACGACATATCTATTTATATATGCAGGACAAGCCACGGGGATTGGAAATCTTTAGCTCAAGTACTTTCACGCTGAGAAGTGTGAAAGTACTTGAGCTAAAGATTTCCACCCACCCGTGGCTTGTCCTGCATATATAAATACATATGTCGTGCCGAATATGTGACAAGTCATCCACAACCTGAACAGGGTAAGGGTAGTGAACAAGATCAACAATACTGGTATTCGCTCTGAGGCGAACACTGTGACCAGAAGTGTTAGCAAGGAAAAAATGGATCTTACTATCTCTTACAACATGTAAGGATGGCTCAACAAACAAACCCTTGACTTTGCAGGAATCACTGTCAACTAGGACGTTATCACCATCTGGAACACAAGGAACAACAACAGACACTCTAGTGAGGGCACTAGCCGCGACAGAAACGTCTGTCTGTAGACGGCATGTGACATAAACAAGAGATGGCACTACTAGTTGCAAGTAATCGTTTTCCGACAAGGTGTCCCCTGTGGAGAAACTACTACTTGAACTAGCAGACACTGCAGGGATAAGCTCAGCACTCAAGGTAGTCTGAGGTTCCTCGGACACTTGAGGCAACTGGACACTATCTTGCATGCCTGAAGTTGTAAGTGGAACACAGACAGAAGTGACAGGATCACCAATGCCTGACCGTTTGGGTTCGCTACTGGAAAATGCACTGGCTTGTAAGGACTTAAACCAAACTTCGTACTCTGCGGAAGTATGGTAGATCTCAGATCCAAGTTAGTAACCCCAAAATGGTACGATCAAGTTATCAACTTGGGCATGCCATCGGTAAGGGTCAAGCACAATGCGTAAATCTCTCATAGAAGCAAATCCCAGTAGATCACCAGAGAAAGTAATATGGTCGACAGCAAGGAAGTCCGACACACAGGCGAGAACCAGCTACTCCACTAGGGGAGGACACATGAGTCGGTTCTACGAGAAGGACATGGCGTAACTGCCTATCCTTAAATAAACTAGACTTGATAATATTGACTTGCGCACCAGAGTCCATGAACACATGAGCGGGAGCATTAAAAACAGATACTTGTACTATGGGACCTATCGTTGCATTGGAAGTTATGTGCAAACAAACAGGAGGGTTTTCATCAGAAAAGGTTTGTTCCACTTCATCCCTAAAATCATCTACGTCGGAGACGTGTGAAGCAACATCATCAGCGAGATTGTCGTTCTCGAGACTGCTTAAGGCATCAAAGGAATTACGAACGGGGATGGTGTACTCATTGTCACCTACTGTTACCACGGAACGGTTTGACTGGGGAGCTCGAATTCCCCCGAATTGGAAGAATGAGCCTGGTTCTGGCTAGTCTGAGAACCACGACCTCTGTTTCCTCTCCTGGTTCTGCGGTTGGAACAGCCACTGAAAGATCGAGAGTACTGAAGGTTATAGAGAGCACTGCACTCAGATGTGTCACGTCCAGGTATTCTATGATAAGTACAGTACGGCAGATCTGACTGGTACTCATCATCAGTACGACGCCTCTTAGGGTAACTATCAGGACAATTAACTGCAATATGGCCACGGTAACCACAGTTGTAACAAGTCCTCTTACTATGGTTATTGAATGTACTATGAAAACTACAAGAGTTATAATGACTCGGTACAGAGGTCTTGGGTGATCGCTACGATGGTTGTTTACCATGATTTGTCGCTGTGACACAAACAAGAGGTGGTGCTACTGAGGCACAGGTGTGAAACTGATACACGAGAAAGTACCCTGGGGGCACAAGGAACGTACATGATTTAGGGCTGCCAATCCTTCCTAGAAGATTCATTAACAATGAAAATTTAAAACCATTTAAAACAATCGTTGAGTTATCATACAGACATAACTGTTTTATTTAGATAAATAAAGATGCAAATTGACACCTACAAAGCCCAAACAATCCCTAAGTTTCTCTAAGACATTCCAGTGTTGAAAGTTACAATTACGATATGTATGTATGTTCCCTTTCGGGAAATACCTAATAAATTCCTCGGAGCGTGGAATTTATCACCTGTATTAGACTCAAACTGGAGTACGCAGCTGTGCTTCACTGTGCCAGCTATATAAACGACACGAGATACTTATCTTGGACACAACCTGAACGACAGTGTTAACACCTGCAAGTGCTCTAGGTGCCGGACGTAATAAAAGTTGCTCTCACTAACCGAAAAAATTTTTGTTTGCAGGAGCCATCACTAGACTTTGTACCCTCATCCTCCTGCTTGGTAACTGCTACAAGTAATATACTACTATTAAAACCACCATGAAGCATAATTCAACCTCCCTTTTCGTAAGTATTAACAAAACAACACACATGAGAAGTTTCAAATAGATATGTACCAAATATTACAAGACAAAAACCTCGATTTCTGATGAGCCAAACTTAATAATTTCAACACAACCAAACTAGCACATCTAAAAAACATAAAATAAATTTCATATATTTTTTTTCCAGATCAGTGTTGTTGTGCTCTCAGTACTAGTGTACACTTGTATGTAAGTATGTTGTGCTCTCAGTACTAGTGTACACTTGTATGTAAGTATGTTGTGCTCTCAGTACTAGTGTACACTTGTATGTAAGTATGTTGTGCTCTCAGTACTAGTGTACACTTGTATGTAAGTATGTTGTGCCTCTCAGTACTAGTGTAACACTTGTATGTAAGTATGTTGTGCTCTCAGTACTAGTGTACACTTGTATGTAAGTATGTTGTGCTCTCAGTACTAGTGTACACTTGTATGTAAGTATGTTGTGCTCTCAGTACTAGTGTACACTTGTATGTAAGTATGTTGTGCTCTCAGTACTAGTGTACACTTGTATGTAAAGTATGTTTGTGCTCTCAGTACTAGTGTACACTTGTATGTAAGTATGTTGTGCTCTCAGTACTAGTGTACACTTGTATGTAAGTATGTTTGCTCTCAGTACTAGTGTACACTGTATGTAAGTATGTTGTGCTCTCAGTACTAGTGTACACTTGTATGTAAGTATGTTGTGCTCTCAGTACTAGTGTACACTTGTATGTAAGTATGTTGTGCTCTCAGTACTAGTGTACACTTGTATGTAAGTATCTTGTGCTCTCAGTACTAGTGTACACTTGTATGTAAGTATGCTGTGCTCTCAGTACTAGTGTACACTTGTATGTAAGTATGTTGTGCTCTCAGTACTAGTGTACACTTATATGTAAGTATGTTGTGCTCTCAGTACTAGTGTACACTTGCATGTAAGTATGTTGTGCTCGCAGTACTAGTGTACACTTGTATGTAAGTATGTTGTGCTCTCAGTACTAGTTTGGACTTGTATGTAAGTATGTTGTGCTCTCAGTACAAGTGTGCACTTCTATGTAAGTATGTTGTGCTCTCAGTACTAGTGTGCACTTGTATGTAAGTATGTTGTGCTCTCAGTACTAGTGTGCACTTCTATGTAAGTATGTTGTGCTCTCAGTACTAGTGTGCACTTGTATGTAAGTATGTTGTGCTCTCAGTACTAGTGTGCACTTGCATGTAAGTATGTTGTGCTCTCAGTACTAGTGTGCACTTGCATGTATGTTGTGCTCTCAGTACTAGTGTGCACTTGCATGTAAGTATGTTGTGCTCTCAGTACTAGTGTGCACTTGCATGTAAGTATGTTATGCTCTCAGTACTAGTGTGCACTTGCATGTAAGTATGTTGTGCTCTCAGTACTAGTGTGCACTTGCATGTATGTTGTGCTCTCAGTACTAGTGTGCACTTGCATGTAAGTATGTTGTGCTCTCAGTACTAGTGTGCACTTGCATGTATGTTGTGCTCTCAGTACTAGTGTGCACTTGCATGTAAGTATGTTGTGCTCTCAGTACTAGTGTGCACTTGCATGTAAGTATGTTGTGCTCTCAGTACTAGTGTGTACTTGCATGTAAGTATGTTGTGCTACTCAGTACTAGTGTGCACTTGCATGTAAGTATGTTGTGCTCTCAGTACTAGTGTGCACTTGCATGTAAGTATGTTGTGCTCTCAGTACTAGTGTGCACTTGCATGTAAGTATGTTGTGCTCTCAGTACTAGTGTGCACTTGCAAGTAAGTATGTTGTGCTCTCAGTACTAGTGTGCACTGCATGTAAGTAATGTTGTGCTCTCAGTACTAGGTGTGCACTTGCATGTAAGTATGTTTGTGCTCTCAGTACTATGTGCACTTGCATGTAAGTATGTTGTGCTCTCAGTACTAGTGTGCACTTGCATGTAATATGTTGGCTCTCAGACTAGTGTGCCTTGCAGTAAGTATTTTTGCTCCGTACTAGTGTGCACTTGCAAGTAAGTTTTTGTGCCTCAGTACTAATGACATTGCATGTAAGTATTTGTGTTCAGTACATGTAAAGTGGTTCCCCAAAGGAATTCTGTTACATTTCCCAGTGGTTCTGTGGGGTTCACTGGGGTTCTGTTACTTATTCCCAGTATTTTTGTTTAAATTTTTCAACGTGGGGCTGTAAAAGTGGTTCACAAGGGTTCTGTTACATTTCTCCCCTATTCTGTTAAAAATTTTTCACCATGGGGCGAAATGGTTCACCAGGGATTCTGCACATTATTTACAAAATGGTTTCTGTAGTGGTTCACTAGGGGTTGGGGTTTAAATTTTCTCACCAAGTTTTGTTACATTATTCACCTGGGGCCCGAAAGTGGTTCCCAGGGGTTCTGTTAATTTTTCACCAGTGGTTCTGCCATGGTTCCCAGGGGTTCTGTTACATGATTTTCCAGTACTTTTTGTTACATTTTTCTCCCGTATTTCTTTTACATTATTCTCCAATAGTTCTGTTAAAATATTCTCCAAAAGCCTGTTCATTTTTTTTCTCCCAAAAACCCTTTTTACATTAATCACCAGTATTTTTTTTACAGATTTTCCCGTATTTGTTACAGATTCTCCATACTTCTGTTACATTTTTCTCCAGTGTTCGTTACATTATTTCCAGTTGTTCTGTTTTAATTATTTCCATAGCTCTGTTTCAGATTCTCCCGTAGTTTGTTACTTGAAATTTTTCCAGACTTTTGTTACATTATTTTCCAGTAGTTTTGTTACATTATTTTCCCCTAGCTCTGTTTCACGATTCTCCAGTAGTTCTGTTACTGATTTTTCAGTACTTCTGTTACAATTCCCAGTAGTTTTGTTACTTATTCTCCAAAAGTTTTGTTACATGATTCTATAGTATTCTGTTCATATTCTCCAGTTGTTCTGTTACATGGTTCTCCATAGTTCTGTTTCAAAAGATTTTCCATACTCTGTTTTCAAAAGGGTTTCCGTATTCTGTTACAGTTCTCCGTAAAATTTGTTAATGATTTTCCCCTATTCTGTTACATGATTCTCCATATTCCCGTTACATGATTCTCCAGTAGTTCGTTTTCATGATTCCCAGTAGTTTTTGTTACTGATTCTCCCGTATTTTGTTAATGATTCACCCTATTTGTTACTGATTCTCCGTAGTTCCCCGTTACATTTTCTCCCGTATTCTGTTACATGATTCTCCCGTGTTCGTTACAATTCTCCAGTATTCTGTTACATGAGGTTTCCAGTAGTTCTGTTACTATTCACCAGTAGTTTTTGTTTTTTGATTCTCCAGTAGTTCTGTTACGTTATTTCCCGAGTTCGTACATAAATTCCCTTTGTTTTTGTTCATGAAATTTTCCAGTAGGTTTTTACATATTTTCCCCCTTTTACATCATTCTCCCTGTTTTGTTCATTATTTTCCATAGTTCTGTTTCTGATTCTCCAGTAGTTCTGTTACATGATTTCCATAGGTTCTGTTACATGATTTCCCCGTATTCGTTTCATGTTCTCCAGTAATTTCTGTTACATGATTTCCATAGTTCTGTTACATGATTCTCCGACTTGTTACTGGTTTTTTCCATAGTTCTTTCAGATTCTCCAGAAAATTTGTTATATGATTCTCCAGTAGTTCGTTACATGATTCTCCTAGTTCTCTTACAAAGATTTTCCCCGTAGTTCTGTTACATTCCTCCCCGTAGTTCTGTTAATGATTCTCCAGTATTCTGTTACATGTTTCCCCGTAGTTCTGTTTCATGATTCTCCGTAATTCTGTTACAATGATTTTCCCAGTAGTTTGTTTCATGATTCTCCATATTCTGTTTTCATTATTCCCAGTAGTTCTGTTAATGATTCTCAAGTAGTTCGTTACTGATTCTCCGTAATTCGTTACATGATTTCCAGAGTTCGACACATTCTCCAGTAGTTCTTTACTTACTCCAGTATTCTTTACATATTCTCCCGTAGTTCTGTTAGTGTTCTCCATAGTTCTGTTACGATTCCAGTAGTTCTTTATGGATTCTCATATTTTTTGTTACATGATTCTCCAGTAGTTTGTTTTAATTATTCACCCGTGGGTCTGTAAAGTGGTTCACCAGGGGTTTCTGCACATTTTCCCCCAGTGGTTTTGTAGTGGTTTACGGGATTCTGTTACATTTTTCACCAGTATTTTTGTTACATTTTTCACCAGTGGGTTGAAAAAATGGTTCCCCGGGGGTTTTGTTTCCATTATTCACCAGTGGTTTTTTTACAGTGGTTCTGTTAATTATTCACCGGGGTTCTTTAATTTTCCCAGGGGTTCTTACATAGTTTTTGTTACATTATTTAACCAAATTTGTTAATTATTCACCAGTTTTTCTCTTAAAATTATCCCAAGGGGAGTTCTGTTAAAAATATTCTTCATAGTTCTGTTTTTCATAAATTTACCAGTAGTTTTTTTTTCATTATTCACCGGTAGTTCTGTTTTCATTATTCACCAGTAGTTTTGTTACATGATTCACCAGTAGTTGTTACATTATTTCCCCGTATTTTGTTACTTATTCACCAGTAGTTCTGTTACATTTTCACCAGTATTTTGTTACAATAATCACAGTAGTTCTGTTACTTTTTCTCCAGTATTTTTTGTAGGATCTCAAAGTAGTTCTGTCGTGATTTTCCCGTAGTTCTGTTTTTGACTCCCAGTGTTTTTTAAGTGATTTTCCCGTAGTTCTGTTAGTGATTCCCAGTAGTTATTGATTCTCCATATTTTTTTTTTATGTGATTTTTCCATATTCTGTTTTTGTGATTCTCAGTAGTTCTGCATGTGATTCTCCCCTAGTTTGTTATTTGCTCTCCGTAGTTTGTTATTATTCTCCATATTTGTTTGTGATTCTCCAGTAGTTGTTATTGATTTCCATAGTTCTGTTTCATTTTCTCCAGATTTTTTGTTACATATTCTCCAGTGTTCTGTTTTCATATTTCCATACTTGTTACATATCTCCCCGTATTTTGTTACATTTTCCCCAAAAAGTTCTGTTACATGATTCTCCGGTAGTTCTGTTACATGATTCTCCTTTCTTCTGTTTCATTATTTTTCCAGAGTTCTGTTAGTTATTCTCCATATTTTTACAGATTTCCAAATTATGTTACATGATTCTCCAAGTTTGTTACATAATTTTCCGTATTCGTTACCCGATTCCCAGTAGTTCTGTTAAAATGATTTTCCCGTTTCGTTT